CCGAGCCGGGCTCAGGGGAGCCGAGGGGGGGGAGGGCGGCGCCCGCCTGCCAGGAGCCGAACCCCTCGCGTGGGGGGCTGAGCTCCCTGGCCGGCGGGGCGGAGCGAGCCGGCGACCGGAGCGGGGAGACGCAGGGGCCGGGGGAGCTATGGGAAGGGGGAAAGGGGGGTCGTCCGCACAGTCAGCCCAGCAGAACCTGGCCGGCGAAGCGGCGGCGGAGGGGGCGCACGTCGGGGAGGGCGGCACCGGGACCGCGGAGGAGGAAGGGGGAGCCGTGGAGAGGGCGAGGCAGGGGGCCGGCGGCGAGGGGGCGGGCACGGCGAGGGCGCCCGCGGGGTCGCCAGGAGAGTCGCCCATTCTGCACCAGCGGGTTCTCCGAATTAATCAGTAGGACACAACACTTCACAAATAGCTGGTTCGATTCGCGAGAACGGGCACCTCAGCATTGAAAGTAGAGGACACAATAATTTCTTTCATTTCTGTTATTTTAGCGTCTACACGAGTGCATTTGCATCAGACATGGCCTGAGGCCTGACCAGACTTGCTCGTAAAGTTGTGACACAAGTAGGGGTGCAGGGCGGCGCCCGAATCCGGCCCACTTTCTATTCAAAGCTAAAAAAGTCAGTTATAGAAAAAATTAAACTACGATCACATCAATTTGTACTAGTTGTGTGCTAGCTAGCTGTTTTTGCGGGATTTTGCGGGACCCCTAGATTGTGAAGGATTGTATGAGATCGGGTCTCATTCTTAGATTGTGAAGGCCACATGGCATTCATCCTAGTGGGTTTAACTTGCTGTAGAATGATACCCGGTTTCATACAACTATTTTCCGGATTTGCATCTAGCAGGTGAATGTGGACGCCTCCCTAATTAATTGAACCTCTGTTGTCTTATACTGAGTCCATTTATATTTACTCCGTATATTATAGCTGAACTAAAGTACAACTAATTCTAAAACTAATTCTGGGCTGGTTTATTTGGATTTGTAAAACTTGGCTCAAGAACAAATTTGGATAACAAGGTATACTTGGTTCTTAATGCAGATTTATTCGTTTTAAAACTTAGGGGGTGTTTGGTTCAGAAGTCCTAGGACTTTTTCTAGTCCCAAGAACTAATCAAAAAAGACTCTCTAGTAGAGTCTTTTTCTAGTCCCTGTAGAAAAAGTCCTTCCCGTTTGGTTTCTAGGGACTTTTTAGGGACTTTTTCTAGTCTCGGGGACTAAAAAGTCCCTGAACCAAACACCCCCTAACTTGTGTGCTAGATCAGTAGTGCTTAGTTGCTTACCCACAATCAGCTTTGCTGGTAGCGGGAAATTTTCTACGCAGTCTCCATTTTTGACATTTCCTTCCATTCCAGGTTTGCATGAACAATCATAGCCTTACGTTACAGTGTGTTGATGTGTATGGAGGTATATGTGTGTATCCATGAGTGTACATGTACGATGTATTTGGTGTTTCTAAAAAAATGACTTGTAGTGTATATTTAAACAAGATTTTGGTTGATGTGGTAAAATCAATATCATTAGTTTTGTCATAAAAACTTCTGATAATAAATCGTGAGCTAACCATTTTAACTAAGGATGATGGATTAAATGTTCCCTCCGATCAAGAATGCGCATGTAGGTACAATAGCGATGCTACTAGTATTTGATTATCACAAGAGCACTCACTCAACGCAAAGGAAGAGCAGATTCAACCCTGAAACTCCACACTCCACACTCCAAACAAAAAAACAAAAGATTACTCACTAACTTTCCAGCAATTGTAACCACAAACTAAACTTTAATATTCCCACTACTAGTAAACTTGCTTGAGTTAGTATTAAGTAAAGTTATGATTGAGACTTGAGAGTGACACCTCAGTTGTTACTGTCTTGCCAGTATTCTTTGACTCACAGCAACTGAAAATATATTTGTGTAAAATACTTCCCATTGATGACTACTACAACCCTTAAACTTGTGGGTACAAACTATTACATCCGAATTTCAAATCTGGGCACATAGTTTGGTGTACTTCAAATATAGGAGTAGTTGTATGTAACTTGTCTTGACAATCAAAACTAAAAGTTTATCAATGTAACCGTTACATAACAAGATCAAATATGCATAGTGTTAGCATTTGTAGGTTTTTCATTCTCCCCAAGACTTAAGCAAGGCAACATCATCTGGCGCAGGACTGAGATCTGCCTGGTAGTTTCTCCCTTGTCCATCCTGCACGCCTTGACCAATAATTTCAAGGAGACGGTGCTCTACTTGTTTCATATCTAGGCGTTCTTCGGGATTAAATTTTACACACTCCACGGCAACTCCACTGACCATTTCCAAGAGTTTAATATCCACCTCGCTTATGATATCATTGTCAATCAAGTTTCTTGCTCTTTTATCTTGATACGCTTCGACAAAGCTTGTAACATAGTTCCTCTTGTTAGAGTATGTTGCGGGCCTCCTCGTGATAAGCTCTATGAGAACAACCCCAAAGCTGTAGACATCACTCTTCTGTGTAACAATCCCCTGGCCCATATATATTGGATCTATGTAACTCATGTCCCCAATGACACGTTCAGTCTTCTCAGTCTTTCCTCCTGCGAGCAACCTCGAGGTACCAAAGTCTGAAACTTTAGGGAAGAAATTTTCATCAAGAAGAATATTGGCAGATTTAACATCACCGTGACGGATTGTACACTCCCCTGCTGAATGCATGTATGTTAGGCCTTCAGCTGACCCAGCAGCAATTTGTAGGCGCATATCTACCGATATGATATGTACACGCCTCAATCCAAATAGAGCATCATACAAACTCCCTCTTGATACATATTCGTATACCAACATTGGAACATCCAGCTCTAAGCAACAACCTAGGAGCCTTGCAATGTTCTTGTGTCTCATCTCAGATTGTACTATAACCTCCCCAGTGAATTCCGCCTTCATATTCTTGTCAACTTTGATGGACCTCTTTATAGCCACTTGTTGTTTATCTTCTAGAGTCCCCATATAAACCTTCCCGAAGTTTCCTTCTCCAATGACACAACTGTAGTTATTTGTAATTTGTTTCATTTCTTTCCTTCTATATATCTTTATATTCTTTACACCTTTTAGTACTGGTCCACCATTTTGTTCATGGAACCTCTTGAGTGTTAGGAGTTGATGGGCCATAACCATGAGGACAAGTGCAACAATACAAGCAGCAAGGCCTACACATGATAGAGTAGTAACAGCTTTTTGTTAAACTGTGTTGAACACTTCATACAGTTATCAACCATAACATGTTAATTAATTACTTCTTCCGTTTCATAATTCTTGTGCCACGACAAAAATTATGGAACGGAAGAAATAATCAATACTAGAAAGGTTAACTTGACATGCTATTTCTCCGCCCATGGCCGCTCTCCTACGACACTTTGCCGCTGCCAATACCTCCACTCCTCCAGAGTGTGCACGGCCGACAGGTTACTGTGCGCCTCTCGGTCCCTTCTCTGTACGTTCTCTCCACATGCAAAACCAATCCCAACTCCAGCTCAAAAAGAAAAACAATCCCAACTCAAGAAAGAAAAAGAGGAGGTCGAAGGAGCACAGAGCTGCCATCGTCGATGATAAGGCGGATGGGGAGGCGACAGACAACGGCAAGTCGTAATCGCGAGGGGAATTAGTCCAGCGTGAGCAGGAACCCGACGAGGCACTCATAATCTACGTTCCCTGCAAGCGGACAGAGCTGCATCTCGCTGTCGGCTACTTCGACGGGGACAAGACCCACCCAAATTTGTGCTCCTCCGCTCCAGTCAATGGCACGGTATCTGCCATTTTCCTTTCCTACTTCTGGTTCCAATCTTTCTTTTCCCCCCTTCTAGTGCCATATTTTCTGGTGGTGAGCAATGCACTCAGGGTGTTCGACGAATTGCAAACTTGCTAAAACTTTAGCTCTAGACTCTAGTGGAAGGATTTCTCTTGGGAATAATTAACAACTTTGTGTTTCAATAAATGGGTGATACACAGCGCTTTTTGTTAGATGAACGTGAAAAAATATTAACAACATTGTAAACTCCAAAACTGATGGCTGTCCCTGTCTGTAATTGTTACTTATGATCATTGCCACGCAACCCTGATGTGAGTATTCCACATAATTTGGTGTGATGGAATTGCACATTTTAATTATTTAGTGCGATTCTACAAAGATGTTCCCTAACCTTCTATGTCTCCATGAGTTTAATAGCTGTTGTTTGTCCGTTATTGAAATGTCTCTCAATTCTGTATTTCAGCTGAAATTTGTCTTCTTTTGTAACTTACGAGATATGGTCTTCAAGCGTTAGCTTCTATGCATAGCTTTTAGATCAGGAAAGATAGTCAAATCCTTTTTTTTTCTATCTGCATTGACTTCATGTGCACTATTGGTTTTTCTCCAATTATGTTGAATGAGCTATACTACTAATAGTTTTGTAAAAGATATCATCATGCTGTGATGCTACAACGAATTACTTTGAGCAACTCATGGCTTGTCCAAGCTTTTTTTTTGTAAAGTTGCAGTGGCATATTTATAAATCTTGTTTTTGTAATGGCATTTTTGCAATTTGCAGAAGTTGTGCTGGAATATAACCAATTAATCCTTATACTTTTGGTGGAGATCAATCACCATACATATAGTGCTATTTTGAGATTAATACAGCAAGGCGCCCCCCACCTACTTCCTGTGTGTACTTTGTGTCTGTTTTTCTTGCTTTTAGGGGTCATCTAATCCCAAGACAGTGCCGCGCACCCTTCTGACCAGACTCGCCGGCGAAGTTTCACGACTCAAAGGATTTGCATCTAACAGGTGAGTCTGGATGTCTGGTTAATAAATTGAACCGCAATTAGTTCATACTTGGTCCAAAGCTCAACTGATGGTAAAAGCACATTGTCTGGTTTATTTGATTCCTAAATCTGGCACAAGGTACAATTTGGATAACAATATATACTTGGTTCTTAATTCAAATTTATGCTGAAATGCTGTGCTAGTTCAGTGCTTACCTACAACCACCTTTGCTGCTAGGGGGAAATTTTCTACACAGTGTCCGGTTTTGCCATCGCCTTTCATTCCTGCTTTGCATGGACAGTCATAGCCTTCCAACCTGTTGCCACAGACCCCATCAACCGAGCAAGGATACAAATCAGGGAGTTTGCACTCATTGATGTCTGGGAAAGATAAAATAAAGCAATTAATTATGTAACAATAGGAATACCAACTATAAAGTTTGAGTTATGCATATGTACTTGAAGTAGTATATACCATGGCATCCATCAGTGATGTAGGGGTTGCCGTGGTAATGCTCCAAGCACTTGCAGACATAGTCATTGCCTCTGGTGGTGTTGACACAAGTGCTGTTGCTGCTGACACACGCGTAGCCCGGAGGTTGCTGCTGTCCTTCCGGTGGACACCAACCAAGATTCCTGATGGCGAAATCCAGCACAACAGGTACGCCCTCCGGGTATAGCACCTCAATGCCGTTCAAGTCATGCGTAGAGAAGTTGTACCGAGATTTCTCCGCCAACATGCCGTAGAAGCATGGATTGGTTTTCCACAGATAGTTGGGCCGGGGCATGAACCCGACTCCAAAATTGGTCAGTGGGGGCGCATTCGGGGGCAAGGCAGCCAGACAACATCCCAAGCCGGAGCACGTACCGTCTGTCGCGTACTGGAGTCGCCGCATGAGGTTGGAAAGACAGGAAGGCATGTAGGCCTTCGTCTCCTTCCCCCTCTCCCCAAATGAGGTCACCATCATGGATTCGACGTTGGAGCCGACACCGATGAGAACATTGTGCGTCGCTGACAGGAGGAACGGGCCATCGTCGCCCAAGACTATGTCTTGAAACTTCGCGAGGAAATGCCTACTACCATTTGTGCTGCAGTCGGAGCTGACCCCGATGTATACTCGGGCCTCGTTGTCAGCAACTGATATGTCCATGAGCTCCACAGCGTTGGTGTTCCCGCCGGAACCAGTGCCACCCTTGGTGGACGTGTGGTTCAGGGCGCTCGTCCGCTGGAATGGCCCGCTGATGTTGTACGCAAGGAACAGGCGGGGGCGATTCGACGAGGAGGTGTCGCATGTGACCTTGAAGCCAGGAAGGAAGCACCTGGGCTTCCCCATGCCGAAGGGGAAGGGAATGCTGATGTTGCCGCACATGTCCTGGCAGCCCGGACGTTCCACCACCGCCTGCTGCTGCTCCTGCTCTTCACGTCCTTGGTGTTCAGCAAACGCAGGCAAGATCAGGTGAGCCTCCGCCGCCACCACCGCTGCTGCAAGGAGGAACGGCAGCAGCTGGGAGGGTATTGGCATGGTGCACTACTTCTGCTTGGCTAACAAGCTCTCTGTGGATTATTGTGCGCCTGTGCTTGCTACTTGCTAGTCCCTCTGGGACCAGGTACGTCTATATGTGCTAATCTGTAACTAGCAGTTGTTAGTTTGTTCATATCTCTGAGGTTGGGTTGGGTTTTCTTAAGCCCTCTAACAGATCATAGCTGGTGTCATACCACACCAGCGTATACGCCACAATGTGCTCTAACAGAATATGTATCAGCTGTATATATTGCTGGAACAGGTCTGTGCATATGTTACTATTTGATTCCGTTGAGAGGGATGGCACAGCCACATAATCTCTCTTTCTCTTTTTTATGAACAGAAGCAACCCAGGACCTGGCAAAGTCGTCGGCATCTCATGAAAGAATGATTCTGATCATTACGGACAAAAACATATTAATACTGCTGCCATATGTAGACAGATGATGTAACAGGATACCCGCAATCACACTTTTAAATCTCACTTCCAATATGGAAACCGCCTTCGGTTGGTTGACTATATATACTAGTAGTAGAGGTCGTTATACACTTAAGACCTAACCTATCAGGATGAAACCTAACATTATATCTGTCTCTGGTATTTCTTTCATCTTGTAGATAGCGATGTGTCTTCAGTGATCATTATTCTTGAAGCCCTTCAACTCCAGCACTCATGAGCAATGTGTGTGTGTGTGTGTGTGTGTGTGTGTGTGTGTGTGTGTGTGTGTGTTTGAGCGCATCTACGATGTATTTGACATTTCTCAAAAATTGACTTGTACTCCTTCCAAGCCAGCCTGATGATCGTGAGCAATGTCTTTTTTTTTTCTTTTTTTGAGGATCGTGAACAGAGTAGTCAAGCCAGGTTCTTGGCGGAAACCGCATGTCCATTCCAAGCCAGCCTCTAGGCAATCTCTCGTATTTGTTGTAGTGGCAGCCCTATCTCTTGAGCAGGCCGAGGCCGAGATTTGTGGCCCACTGTTCAACCCAAGTGCGGAAGTAGTGTGGGCCGCTGACACCAAGCTTGATGTTTTTTAATCATTGCAAAGCAAGACAAACTGCCTCAGCTAGTGGAGGGGTTAGCATCAATGCCCGTGGAGAGTGAGTTGCAGTTGGATAGAGCTGTCGTCGATGGAGAACGAGTAGATGACAATGCACCACAGTCAAAAAATGGAAGTAGAATCTGCAGGGAAGGAGCCCACGCTACCGGAGATGAAACATAGTCGAAGCAGTGGTCGGTACTGCAAGCGCTCGTCGGAGGCAAAACGGTTGAGCTATGTGTTGTGAGGTGGCATGGGGAAATGAAATAATGTTGCACGGTAATCCTATACGGTGATTAAGCCCTCAAATAGTGCATTAGCGGTAGACAGTGCACACACTAGAGCATAACAGCCCTTCTAGTTTCATCGGTTTTTTGCTTGGGTTTTCTTTGTTTTTTCTCTCTTTGTTTTTTGCCGGTTTTTATTCCTTTTTCCAGTTTTTTTATTTCGTATTCATTTTTTTGTTATTTTATATTCTTTTCACTTTGTAACAATAATGTGTTAACATTTTTTTCATGTTCACATATTTCTAAAAATTAGAAAACAGTTTTAAAATTAGTGACCATTTTTAAAATTAACAATGATTTTTGACTAATTTTTTAATATGTTTTAAATCCACAAACATATTTTGATTTTGCGACTATTTTATCATGAATATTTATTAAATCAGTCATCTTATTTGACCCCAGGTATCATCTTTGCCTTGATCTTTTCTTTGTTTCAATCGCCAACTTACACTTTCTTATTCCACTATTATGATATCTTTGTTGTAGACAAAGACCAAGAGCTCGTGGCCTGGTGTAGGTTAAAGAATACCTTATGATCTACAGTCAAAGGAGTGAAAACATTATTACATTCATAAATATTGTTATATAAAATTCTTGACCATTTTTTAAAGCTCATGAACATTTTTTAGATCCACAAATATATTTTTAATTCGTGAACACTTTTCACATTCGTGGACATTTTTGTAAATCTATGATTCTTTTATAATCCCAAGAACATTTTTCAAGCTCATGAACTTTTTAAAATTGACAAGAATAACATAGCCAGTGGTTTGAACTAGCAACTTTTTTCACACGAGCTCGCAAACATTAGGAGGTACTCCTGCTTAACAGAGGGTAGTGTAGTGAGCGAGCGTCCGAGACAAGCATCCTTTCGAGCAGAAAAACAAAATACAAGCGAGCTTATGACTGAGACAACCGAACGAGTGCAGCGAGCAACCGAGACGAGCGGACATGCGAGCGACTGGGTCATGGCACGCAAGCGCTGAGCACCTCAGTTTTTGTTCTGTTTTGTTTTTTCCACTGTTCTTACTACAGTTCTGCTTGGAGTTTTCCGTTTTCATTTTTCTTGTTCTTTTTCATTTTTCATTTAAAGCTTCTTAGGTTTTGTTTGTTTTTTTGTTCGGTTTTTACTGTGTTTTATTTTATTTCATTCTTTTTTTTCAACATATATTAAACCTTTCCATACAAATTATATATTTTTTGTATATAAACATTTTTTATACAAGTTTCATATATCTCAAATACATGATTACTATATTTTATAATATAGTTTTTCATGCCTTTTCTTTCATAGACATTGTAATTTCTCCCATATATCTAATCATTTTGTTAAAAAAAACTATTTCCAAATACATGATTAATATTTTTGAATCATTATATTGAACATTTTTCGAATACACGTTGAAATAAGTTTCATAAGCGTTGTACATTTTTTCGTATGCATTTTTGCAAAAACATACGTTTTCATGTCTACTTTTTTTCATACATATTGTACATCTTTTATACATATCTAAAACCTTTCTAATATACCTTTACATTTTTTAACAAATGTCACAATTTTCTCAAAAACTTGTTATAAACATCTTGTTTGAATAGGTGTTAGACATTTTTTTCGAATACACATTAAAAAAAATTCCATGATACGGAATATTTTTTGGAATTGTGCAAGCATTTTTTCCCATTGTATAAATAATTTCTTAAAATGTCACAAACATTTTTCTAAATCTAGCTTACATTTTTTTCTAATGGTCCAAAATATTTTTTTTTTCGAATTACACAAAGATTTTTTAGATCATATACCATTTTTTTTAAATGTCCATGCATATCTCTAAAATGTTCATACTTTTTCTGGATGTTTGACACATTTTCTAAAAGACGTGTAAACATTTTAAACTACATTTACATTTCTTTTACACTGCATTCACTATGTTTGCTTTCATGATATATATTTTTATTTTTTTGAAAAAACATTAAAGCATGCCGAAAGCATGACAAGACCATGTTGTAACCGAGATTCCCTGACCTATGTGCTAAATAGTATCATCATTGGCTACCTCGCGAACTGAGCATAGCTCAGATGGTTAGGTTCTTATGGTAGAATCAGCCGATCAGAGTTCAAGTCCTAGACTTGGCACTGATGCTTGTATTTTTCCTAACTTTATTCCAGTCTTTCAGGTGTCCTTAGTGAGTTCATCAATCTCAACATATTGTTCGGTTCGGTATCTCAGAGTTGCTCATAGGGAAATGGTGCGCGCGTGCGTTTATAGAGGTCAGTGTATGTGGGCATCTTTGTTTGGACCATGTTTTATTTATTTTTAACCTTTCATTGCGACAAATCGTTGTGGTGTCTCATCGTGGCCGACGTGTGTTCCGTAGCGTGTTGGATTTTGGGTATGGTCGTATTTTAGGATGGGTTCGGTGATACTTTACTTCTTTTTTCATATTTTATGGACGGGGCGTTTTGGCTTCCAGACTCATCTGAGCCCGGGAGTGAGCAGTAAATTCCCCAAAAAATAGTTAAAATATTCAAAATTTCAAATTTCTCTGGTGAAAGATACTTTAGTTTGTTATGTCTCTGTAAGAATTCAGCGCACTTGAATATCTGGTGACCTCTTGGCAAAAGAGACAAACTTGCGGTCTGCGAAAAGTTTATTGTTCTGCATGGTACGGACCCCGATTTTTTTTATTGAGAGCTACCCAGATGTCCGAATGAGCTGAAACTTGTCAAAAACCAATGTTCAAGAAATCGTTAACCGGTAGCTGCTTGGTCGCTTTAGGAGTAGAGATTAATCGATGAATCGGCTTATTAACTGGATTAATCGATCGACCATTAATCGGTGATTGAAAGGAACTTTCCAACATATATCTAATTTTTTTTATGTATTATACCATACTCTCGTGCTCACAGCTATTTAGTATACCAAAATATGTTGTTGTACACATATGAAAAGCATAGAGAGGAGATAAAATTAATAATCCTAGCTATTAAGGAGCGGGATGGGGCTGGAAAAATTTGGTCTTTGTTTGCCCACCTGTTAATGGGCCAGCGGGGATTAATCGGTCTGACAACTGATTAATCGGTCTAATTGGCCAATTAATCGGCCTGGCAAGTTAACGTGATGAATAGGTATTATTTGATTCGGCCATGCTATGAGTAGTGATTAACTAGCCTGTTAACTGATTAATCAGATAAATTCTTGAACAGTGGCAAAAACACGACGCACTCAAGCATCTTTCACCCAAAAAATTTGATTTTTTTAGAAAATCTGATATGTTTTCTGAATTTACTGTTCACACAGGGTCTAGATGAGCTCGGAGCCGAATTGGATATTTGGTATTTTACCATTTACCGTAGTGTCGTCCTTTCGAGTTGCGAGAATGTTTTCCAGCCAGCGTATGTGCACAAAGGAGAAAAAAAGAGGAAAGAAAATACGTAGGAAAGAACGGCCAGCGACCGCTTGTAGTAAGTTCTCAAAGCGCCTAAAATTTAGTTAATCGTTAATAAAGGCCATTTAGGTCAAATTATATGTACAATGATTCTTCTAGCTTTGCCTTGATATTTTTGTCCATGTTTGGCTGGCTGAGTGCACCGTATCTTCTGTTTGTTTGGCTGGAATTGTATACCCACATGATAGCTGCACGTCCTAACCTTAAACAGTTCCAAAAAAAAAATATG